ATTAATCAAATTTTGAACCAAAATACGTCTTTCGTTTATAAAAAGTTGACATTCCATAAAATAGTGAAAGACATTCTCACAAGGATGACCACAATTACAAGTTGCACTCTCAACAAGGTTAACTCTACAAAGGTCATACTTAAGGAAACTGCACTGGTGTCGGAGCTTAGTATGCAAGATATTAAGTTTCCGATTTCCGATTTTAAAGTTAATAGGTGGACTTGACTGACTATTTGATGTTAAACAGGATTTGAAGGAATTAATAGAGAGTAGGGATCGAACCGAATTGTCTCAGTTATTCCAATAGTGAAGAGTAGAAGGCAGAAAAGAAGAATTAGTAAGAGATAATCTGAAAGGAGGAATCCTATAGTTATTATTGTTACGTAAAGCGTAACGATTATTTTCTCCAGATAAAGGCGGCAAAAGATGATTGAAGTAATCAGGAGTTAATTTATTATGCATCTTATACAATAGTTGAAATTTCCTCCGTTTTCTGCGATTAGATAAAGTTTCAAGATTAGTTTCGTAATATAAAGTATTAATAGGAGTATATGAAGGAAGTCCTAATATAATGCGAGCAGCTTCACGTTGGGCTTTTTCTAACTTTTCAGATTCAAAAATAGTGCAACCGTCCCACAACTCACAAGCATATTCTAAAACAGGTAAAATAAAAGTCTTGTAAATTTTTAAAAGAGCATCCCTACTTGATAAGAGTTTCAGTTTCCGTAAGACATTAATTTTCTTCATAACAGAAGTGTAAATTCCATTTACATGATCCCCCCACTTTGCATTCGAATTTAAAGTTACCCCTAAATGTTTATGACAATCTGTAAAATTTAAGACTTTCCCATCAAATTCTAAATTTAAGTCTTCTTCGATATCGATTGAATTCGAAATAAATAATACATCTGTTTTTTCAGGATTGAAATTAACTAACCAGGTTTTTGACCACGTATTTAAGATCTCTAGGTCTCTATTTAAAGTTTCTTGAATTTCTAAACAAGATGAAGATGCCTTAAGTAATGATGTATCGTCTGCAAAAAGACGAGACGTTGATTCAAAAATATCTGCTATGTAATTAATAAATATAAGAAATAAAAGTGGGCCAAGAATAGAGCCTTGGGGAACCCCAGCCTCAATTAGACCTACAGAAGAATGTGAACTGTTTAAAAATACCTTTTGGTGTCTCTGAGACAAATATTTTTTTAACCACATAAGCAATTCACCTGAAATTCCGTACGATTTTAACTTCACTACCAGACCTCTATGCCGAACCCTATCAAAAGCTTTGGATATGTCACAGAATACAACACACGTATGTTCTTCAAGTGCAATACTAATTTGGTGATATATATCAATGAGTTGATACACTGTAGAATGACCATGCATAAAACCAGACTGATATTTGTAAAACAAAGAATTTTCTATAAAGTAGTTGTACAAATGTTTAAAAATCACTCTTTCAAAAACTTTACCAACAGTGCACAGCAAGGCACAGCCATAATTCGAAGGAGAATGTCTGTCACCCTTTTTAAACAATGGCATTATATTAGCTAATTTCCATTTATTTGGATAAATCCCTGTTGATAAAGACATATTAAATATTATTTCGAGCGGAGTACAAACATTGCGAGCAGTATTTCTTAGCATATGGTGGCTGATTCCATCCCCATCCGAGGTCTTGCCGAGCTTCAATATCTGTAGAACATCCCCTATTTCAGTTGAATGTAATCTAATTGAACTAATATTTTTGTCCGTTTTTGGCTCAATAATCGGGACATCCGTGTTACTGTCATCTACTCTAGTAATACTACAAAAATAGTTATTTAGTAATTCAGCTTTATCTTCATCTCTAGTAACTATGTCATTAGTAATAGGATCGACTAAGGAAGGTATAGGTTGTGAAGTAACAGACGTTTTAATTAACCTTTTAAATAATTTCCAATAAGACTTAGGATCAGAAGATGAGTACCCATCAATAATATCATAAACATTTTCATAAAAAGTAACACGTGCATGCTTTTTCATATTATTTACTTTGTTTCGCTGTGATTTGAATTTATTGATATCTACCAAACGTTTGGTTGACCTCGCTATTTTATGTAATCTATCCCTAATTCTTAATTTTTTTCTAAGCTCAGAAGTAATCCATGGCTTATCATTAGGTTTTATATTTACTTCTATACTAGGAGTACATTCATAGGCAAAAGATAGATAAATGTTCGTAAATCGATCACATGCTAAATTAACTGAGTCACAATTATAAAAAGTTTCTAACCAATTATGATTAGATATAAGTTCATTACATTTTTCAGAATTTGCACTCTTGTACTGCCAAACTTTACGTTTATAGACTGGTTTAAAACAAAACTACTTAGGGGAGGCGCTCTTATTAGTCAACACAAAACTCATAAGGGGACGCGTTCTTATTAGTCAATACAAAACTCATTAGGGTATAGGCGCTCTGAATAGTCAACACAAACTACTTAGGGGAGGCGCTCTTTTCAGTCAACAAACACAAAACTCTTTAGGGGAGGGGCTCTTATCAGTCAACAAAAACAAAACTCATTAGGGGAGGCGCTCTTATCAGTCAACAAACACAAAACTCATTAGGGGAGGTGCTCTTATTAGTTAACACAAACTACTTAGGGGAGGTGCTCTTATCAGTCAACAAACACAAAACTACTTAGGGGAGGCGCTCTTATTAGTCAAAACAAAACTCACAAGGGGAGGCGTTCTTATTAGTCAACATAAAACTCATTAGGGGAGGCGCTCTGAATAGTCAACACAAACTACTTAGGGGAGGCGCTCTTATCAGTCAACAAACACAAAACTCATTAGGGGAGGCGCTCTTATTAGTCAACACAAAACTTATTAGGGGAGGCGCTCTGAATAGTCAACACAAAACTCATTAGGGGAGGCGTCCTTATCAGTCAAGACAAAACTCATTAGGGGAGGCGCTCTTATTAGTCAACACAAAACCCATTAGGGGAGGCGCTCTTATTGGTCAACACAGAACTCATAACACACAATCAGTGGTACACAAATTTATTCACTTAGTCACATTATGTAATACATCGTGTTATTGCATTCTGTATTCGTTATTTTCCCCGGGGGTGGGGGATACAACTTAGCAATAAACTAGAAAGTATATTAATCTAAACTTTAAACGCCAAAAGAGAATAAAAATGACTTTTCAAACATATAGCTTTTGACTTTGAATATACATGAATTCGCGTGTACACTCGGCTAAAAACGGAGAAAAACTGATAACAAATGAGTCCTCCAATAAGTATAAATATCCACACGATATTCATAATAATAATTTAAGGGTAAATTACATATAAGCTGAGCGAAACATTAAATATTTGTTAAAAAAACAAATTAGAAATATGTTTCACAAATAAATGTATTTAACATTGACCTAAGTAGACGTGTTATGAGAGTTCCAGTGGCCATCTGTCGAGCTGAGGAAATAGGAGTTGGCTTTCAAATTTCTGTTTAATATCCATTCAAGGTGAAATTACCATAAACATATTGTCAAAAATTGTAAAGGGATTATTGTTTTTGAATTCAAAAGTATATTTTGATGCAAAAAACACCCAAAAAAGTGAACATATATTATTTTTTCTAAATATAATAACCTAAATTATAATTTGTCGGTGTCAACTATGATTGTAGTCATAACAGAGAAAGATAGACACGCCGAGTTATCTCCCATGTGGCGTACATCTATAAATGTCGCCACATATACATGCACGTTCTTAATGTATTGTATATTATATGTTATATATTGATGATTTGTTGAAAGTAGCCTCGGTTTCAGAATAAAGGCATTATTACTTTTTACATATATATTTGTGTCTGCTTTTAACGTAGGTTGCAAGAAATAATCGGCTCCATTATGACCTTAATACCACGCGTCAATGCTAACCGAGGTTACAGCAAGCGTCAATGTAAAACCAAGGTTACAACACGCGTCAATGCAAACAAAGGTTACACAAAGCGTCAATGATAACCGAGGTTACACCAAGCGTCAATGCTATCAGAGGTTACACCAAGAGTCAATGCTATCCGAGGTAACACCACGCGTCTATGATAACCAAGGCTACACCAAGCATCATTGCTATCCAAGGTTACACCAAGCGTCAATGCTAACCAAGGTTACACCAAGCGTCAATGCTAACCGCAGTTACAACAAGCGTTAATGCTAACCGAGGTTACATCAAGCGTCAATGATAACCAAGTTAACACCAAGCGTAAATGCTAACCAAGTTAACACCAAGCGTCAATGCTTACCGCGGTTACAACAAGCGTCAATGCTAACCGAGGTTACGTGTACACCAAACGTCAATGCTAACAAAGTTTACACCAAGCGTCAATGCAAACCAAGGTTACACCAAGCGCCAATGCTATCCAAGGTTACACTACGCGTCAATGATAACCAAGGCTACACCAAGCATCAATGCTATCCAAGGTTACACCAAGCGTCAATGATAACCAAGGTTACACCACGCGTCAATGATAACCGAGGTTACAACAAGCGTTAATGCTAACCGAGGTTACATCAAGCTTCAATGATAACCAAGTTAACACCAAGCGTCAATGATAACCAAGGTTACACCAAGCGTCAATACAAACCAAGATTACACCAGGCGTCAATGATAACCAAGGCTACACCGAGCATCAATGATAACCAAGGTTACACCACGCGTCAATGCTAACCGAGGTTACACCAAGCGTCAATGATAACCGAGGTTACATCAAGCTTCAATGATAACCAAGTTAACACCAAGCGTCAATGCAAACCAAGGTTACACCAAGCGTCAATGATAACCAAGGCTACACCGAGCATCAATGATAACTAAAGTTACACCAAGCGGCAATGCTTACCAAGGTTACACCAAGCGGCAATGATAACCAAGGTTACACCAAGCGGCAATGGTAACCAAGGCTACACCGAGCATCAATGATAACTAAAGTTACACTAAGCGTCAATGCTTACCAAGGTTACACCAAGCGGCAATGATAACCAAGGCTACACCGAGCATCAATGATAACTAAAGTTACACCAAGCGTCAATGCTTACCAAGGTTACACCAAGCGGCAATGATAACCAAGGCTACACCGAGCATCAATGATAACCAAGGTTACACCACGCGTCAATGATAACCAAGTTAACACCACGCGTCAATGATAACCGACGTTACACCAAACGTCAATGCAAACCAAGGTTACACCGAGCATCAATGATAACCAAGGCTACACCGAGCATCAATGATAACCAAGGTTACACCACGCGTCAATGATAACTAAGGTTACACCAAGCTTCAATGCTAACCAAGGTTACACCAAGCGGCAATGGTAACCAAGGCTACACCGAGCATCAATGATAACTAAGGTTACAACAAGCTTCAATGCTAACCAAGGTTACACCAAGCGGCAATGGTAACCAAGGCTACACCGAGCATCAGTGAAAAACAAGGTTACACCACGCGTCAATGCTAACCAAGGTTACACCAAGCGTCAATGATAACCAAGGTTACACCAAGAGTCAATGCTATCCAAGGTTACACCACGCGTCAATGCTAACCGAGGTTACACCAAGCGTCAATGCTAACCAAGGTTACACTAAGCATCAATGATAACCAAGGATTTATTCATTTTTTCGTGAAATTCAATGTTCACAAAGAACAACCGAAACATGTCACCAGAAGTGATTTCGAGCATGTTCTAGTATTCTGGATATCCAAGATGCGCAGTGGTATCAATTCAAGTCGTGCCCGCCATGTAAATTTCGTCGATTTGATTTCGATATACGCTATATGTAATGATTTTTCAAAGTTCTAACATGTCATGATACTATAGACGTACCATTTTTATTGAGGTGTTATAAAATTAACGCTTTTCCTATTTAAATGTCGCGCAACCTTATTATTGTGCTAATTAAAATGTCTGAACATAGTTTTCTAGTAGAGAAACCGTCAGTGCGACAATTCATCAATTGCGAATCTGTTAAAATTTGATACATACGGTACAATTTGAGTCGGCTTAAATAAGTGATAATTCAGTATGTAATTTAAATTCTTATATTAAGTCGTTATAAAAACACTAAATTTAAGGTAATACATATTTGTAAATTGGTTACTCATTATAGATATAAATCGATTTGACTGCGATATTTCTCGCAACATATATCATTTCAGAAGTCTTTAAATACTTTTTTAAATACAGTTGAGACGTTAAGTCGTAAAAGATAAAACAATTATTCATGCTAGTGCAAACTTGGCTGGTAGATTCGGCTTTTTAACATATAATTACAAATTCCATGGTGACAAATGCGGTTCCGATATAAATAAGTAATATAAAATTTACTGCAATATTCCGATTTCTCAAAAAATTAAAAATACAAAATAACATATGAATAAAATTAAATAACAAGTAGAAGCATTGCAATTTTGGTTGTTCGTTACTTTTGAGCTTTTTGCAATGCTGAATATATTGTCACAAATGCAAATCGAGAATGGTAACTTACAAAAAGTACTTAAAAATCAGGGCAGGTATATCAGATCACTGTAAGTACGTGCAAAATAGAAAATAATACATTCTTAGAAAATAATGTTTGCCAGGTTTATGTTAACGACATCAAATCAAGCGTAACATAATTTGTTAATGAAGCCATTGAAATAATGACATAGAAAGAGGGCCTCATGATAAAACGTAATTCAGACGAATACCACCCGGATGTGCAGCGGCCTGTCAAGATACCACGTTCACTGACCCACTGCTGTGTGTAGAAGTCGTCAATAGTTTTCACATCCCGAACAGCTATCTTGAACTCTTTTCACACGTTTCTTCCTCGTCTTGTGTGGCCTGAATGATACAGACGTGTAAACAGCCGCAGAACAAATCAGAAGTATCACAGCTTCTACAAACCTGTAAACAGAAAAATTAAACAGTATACATATATATATGAAAATAAGCATATAAAGCTAACAATAAACAAATAAAGATAAAAATAAAAATATAAATCTGAAAATAAACGTATATATCTGAAAATAAACATATAAATCTGAAAATAAATATATATATCTGAAAATAAACATCTATATCTAAAAATAAACACATAAAGCTAAAAATTTACAAATAAAGCTAAAAGTAAACATTTAAAGCTAAAAGTAAACATTTAAAGCTAAAAACAAACATATACAGCTAAAAATAAACATATAAATCTGAAAATAAACACATCAAGCAAAAAAAAAATGAAATTTATAAAAATTACAAAGTAAATATAAAAACAAAAAATTACATGAAAATTGGAAAATAAGTATATAAATCTAAAGATAAACACAAGAATCTACGAATAAACATTAAAAGAGCAGATTTAACAGTATTTCACATGGTACCTTTGGTAACTGGACAACTGTGTGTCCACTGTTGACAAATTAGATCAAACATAGAGAAAATTAAGTGACTGGCTCGATACCCATTGCTAGGTAAAATGCATAAAAATGCACGATAACAGGATTCTGGGTCAACACGGACGAAAGGTGTTTAATAATTTGCCCAGCAGGTTTGCTTTGATATTACCTTGAGGCTGAGTTTTTGCTAAGTTCGGGTTCATTAAGTAAGCACGCAACATTGTACGTGTTAAATATATTTATCATTGTTATGTAAACGAGTGGACGGGATGTCCGTGTCTTGTCTCGCACGTGCAGCTACTAGTGCACGTGAGACAGGTATGCTTGGGACAGTAGCGACACGTACAGGTGTCTGTGTTCGCCTAGCTGTCGATCAGTCCGGACGTACTTGTTATCGCTGATATGACCGAGTTAAATACCGAGGGGGATAGTATTGGTCCTACGGATAGTGTTCCGGCCCCAAAACCAGTTAGTTCTAATAACGACGCCTTCCAGGCTTTGGACTTATTTACTACCTACCTTGACGCAAAATTGAAAGGTCTACGGGACGATATAAGGGAGGAACATGACTTGTCCGCTAACTCCTTCAAACGTTTGAAAAAAGAAAGAGNTTATCATTGTTATGTAAACGAGTGGACGGGATGTCCGTGTCTTGTCTCGCACGTGCAGCTACTAGTGCACGTGAGACAGGTATGCTTGGGACAGTAGCGACACGTACAGGTGTCTGTGTTCGCCTAGCTGTTGATCAGTCCGGACTTCCCGCCCACCCGCCCATTCTTGTTAGTACTTGTTCAGTTTTTGGGTGGCTGTTACATTATATTTCCAGCAATCCTTTCACATGGGGAATGAAACAACCTGATTTGTGTACAGCTATTTTGGAGCATGAAGGACAAGACGAAGTGGCCAGCAATTCCCGCACAGCACTGGGATTACGGATCCATTTTCCGATTTCCATGTAATTTTACCTGAATAAATATGTACGTCCTCGTTGCTAGGCGGACGAACTCCCGGTAAAGAGTTGGAGTTTTATATGATAAATAATTTATGTTCGTTTGAGGGAAGCGAATTAGAATATAAATATATTTATCATTGTTATGTAAACGAGTGGACGGGATGTCCGTGTCTTGTCTCGCACGTGCAGCTACTAGTGCACGTGAGACAGGTATGCTTGGGACAGTAGCGACACGTACAGGTGTCTGTGTTCGCCTAGCTGTTGATCAGTCCGGACTTCCCGCCCACCCGCCCATTCTTGTTAGTACTTGTTCAGTTTTTGGGTGGCTGTTACATTATATTTCCAGCAATCCTTTCACATGGGGAATGAAACAACCTGATTTGTGTACAGCTATTTTGGAGCATGAAGGACAAGACGAAGTGGCCAGCAATTCCCGCACAGCACTGGGATTACGGATCCATTTTCCGATTTCCATGTAATTTTACCTGAATAAATATGTACGTCCTCGTTGCTAGGCGGACGAACTCCCGGTAAAGAGTTGGAGTTTTATATGATAAATAATTTATGTTCGTTTGAGGGAAGCGAATTAGAATATAAATATATTTATCATTGTTATGTAAACGAGTGGACGGGATGTCCGTGTCTTGTCTCGCACGTGCAGCTACTAGTGCACGTGAGACAGGTATGCTTGGGACAGTAGCGACACGTACAGGTGTCTGTGTTCGCCTAGCTGTTGATCAGTCCGGACTTCCCGCCCACCCGCCCATTCTTGTTAGTACTTGTTCAGTTTTTGGGTGGCTGTTACATTATATTTCCAGCAATCCTTTCACATGGGGAATGAAACAACCTGATTTGTGTACAGCTATTTTGGAGCATGAAGGACAAGACGAAGTGGCCAGCAATTCCCGCACAGCACTGGGATTACGGATCCATTTTCCGATTTCCATGTAATTTTACCTGAATAAATATGTACGTCCTCGTTGCTAGGCGGACGAACTCCCGGTAAAGAGTTGGAGTTTTATATGATAAATAATTTATGTTCGTTTGAGGGAAGCGAATTAGAATATAAATATATTTATCATTGTTATGTAAACGAGTGGACGGGATGTCCGTGTCTTGTCTCGCACGTGCAGCTACTAGTGCACGTGAGACAGGTATGCTTGGGACAGTAGCGACACGTACAGGTGTCTGTGTTCGCCTAGCTGTTGATCAGTCCGGACTTCCCGCCCACCCGCCCATTCTTGTTAGTACTTGTTCAGTTTTTGGGTGGCTGTTACATTATATTTCCAGCAATCCTTTCACATGGGGAATGAAACAACCTGATTTGTGTACAGCTATTTTGGAGCATGAAGGACAAGACGAAGTGGCCAGCAATTCCCGCACAGCACTGGGATTACGGATCCATTTTCCGATTTCCATGTAATTTTACCTGAATAAATATGTACGTCCTCGTTGCTAGGCGGACGAACTCCCGGTAAAGAGTTGGAGTTTTATATGATAAATAATTTATGTTCGTTTGAGGGAAGCGAATTAGAATATAAATATATTTATCATTGTTATGTAAACGAGTGGACGGGATGTCCGTGTCTTGTCTCGCACGTGCAGCTACTAGTGCACGTGAGACAGGTATGCTTGGGACAGTAGCGACACGTACAGGTGTCTGTGTTCGCCTAGCTGTTGATCAGTCCGGACTTCCCGCCCACCCGCCCATTCTTGTTAGTACTTGTTCAGTTTTTGGGTGGCTGTTACATTATATTTCCAGCAATCCTTTCACATGGGGAATGAAACAACCTGATTTGTGTACAGCTATTTTGGAGCATGAAGGACAAGACGAAGTGGCCAGCAATTCCCGCACAGCACTGGGATTACGGATCCATTTTCCGATTTCCATGTAATTTTACCTGAATAAATATGTACGTCCTCGTTGCTAGGCGGACGAACTCCCGGTAAAGAGTTGGAGTTTTATATGATAAATAATTTATGTTCGTTTGAGGGAAGCGAATTAGAATATAAATATATTTATCATTGTTATGTAAACGAGTGGACGGGATGTCCGTGTCTTGTCTCGCACGTGCAGCTACTAGTGCACGTGAGACAGGTATGCTTGGGACAGTAGCGACACGTACAGGTGTCTGTGTTCGCCTAGCTGTTGATCAGTCCGGACTTCCCGCCCACCCGCCCATTCTTGTTAGTACTTGTTCAGTTTTTGGGTGGCTGTTACATTATATTTCCAGCAATCCTTTCACATGGGGAATGAAACAACCTGATTTGTGTACAGCTATTTTGGAGCATGAAGGACAAGACGAAGTGGCCAGCAATTCCCGCACAGCACTGGGATTACGGATCCATTTTCCGATTTCCATGTAATTTTACCTGAATAAATATGTACGTCCTCGTTGCTAGGCGGACGAACTCCCGGTAAAGAGTTGGAGTTTTATATGATAAATAATTTATGTTCGTTTGAGGGAAGCGAATTAGAATATAAATATATTTATCATTGTTATGTAAACGAGTGGACGGGATGTCCGTGTCTTGTCTCGCACGTGCAGCTACTAGTGCACGTGAGACAGGTATGCTTGGGACAGTAGCGACACGTACAGGTGTCTGTGTTCGCCTAGCTGTTGATCAGTCCGGACTTCCCGCCCACCCGCCCATTCTTGTTAGTACTTGTTCAGTTTTTGGGTGGCTGTTACATTATATTTCCAGCAATCCTTTCACATGGGGAATGAAACAACCTGATTTGTGTACAGCTATTTTGGAGCATGAAGGACAAGACGAAGTGGCCAGCAATTCCCGCACAGCACTGGGATTACGGATCCATTTTCCGATTTCCATGTAATTTTACCTGAATAAATATGTACGTCCTCGTTGCTAGGCGGACGAACTCCCGGTAAAGAGTTGGAGTTTTATATGATAAATAATTTATGTTCGTTTGAGGGAAGCGAATTAGAATATAAATATATTTATCATTGTTATGTAAACGAGTGGACGGGATGTCCGTGTCTTGTCTCGCACGTGCAGCTACTAGTGCACGTGGGACAGGTATGCTTGGGACAGTAGCGACACGTACAGGTGTCTGTGTTCGCCTAGCTGTTGATCAGTCCGGACTTCCCGCCCACCCGCCCATTCTTGTTAGTACTTGTTCAGTTTTTGGGTGGCTGTTACATTATATTTCCAGCAATCCTTTCACATGGGGAATGAAACAACCTGATTTGTGTACAGCTATTTTGGAGCATGAAGGACAAGACGAAGTGGCCAGCAATTCCCGCACAGCACTGGGATTACGGATCCATTTTCCGATTTCCATGTAATTTTACCTGAATAAATATGTACGTCCTCGTTGCTAGGCGGACGAACTCCCGGTAAAGAGTTGGAGTTTTATATGATAAATAATTTATGTTCGTTTGAGGGAAGCGAATTAGAATATAAAACGCCATATCAACGCATGCGTACATCTGCATGATTATTACATCGCGAAAATGCGCACACTGCATATGGTTGAAGAGCTCAAATGCGGCTATATGTCTGATACATGTTTGAGCTTAAACAACTGTATCATGCTG